TGATTTTGCTGCCCTTCCCGTCTCAGAAGCACCCGGCGGGGAGGAAGGTTGCGCAGGCTCTGACGCACAAACTGATCCGGATCGCCCCACCAGCCCAGAGCCAAAGTCCCCCTTGCAGCCCTCCGCCGCTGCGGACACAGCACCCCTGCCCCACGATGGTGCCAGGGATCCTGCCCAGCTTCCAGGCGCGGGAGACGCGGAGCCCTGCGGGCTGTGTCTGGCAGAGCAGCACCCGGCGGGGAGGAAGGTTGCGCAGGCTCTGACGCACAAACTGATCCGGATCGCCCCACCAGCCCAGAGCCAAAGTCCCCCTTGCAGCCCTCCGCCGCTGCGGACACAGCACCCCTGCCCCACGATGGTGCCAGGGATCCTGCCCAGCTTCCAGGCGCGGGAGACGCGGAGCCCTGCGGGCTGTGTCTGGCAGAGCCCTCCCCACGCTCTCCAGGCCAGCAGGCTCCTGATGAGCCCCCTGCCACCATGGACAGGGAGAGCCCCCTGGAGCCCCCTGTGACCTTGCAGTGTGTGGACGTGGACAAATGCATTGATGCTGAACCAGAAGCCGAATTATCGGGCATGGCGGGTGACAGCTCCCTTGAGCAAGAGGAGGCTGTGCCAGCCAGCACAGCCCTCCCCGAAATCTTGGAAGAGGAGGCAGTGCAGAATAACAGCCCAGCAGGTGAAAAAAAGCCCATTGAAGAGGAAACGCCGCCCGAACCCGACGGCTCAGACACTGCAGGGAAGGACTCTGTCTCTTCCAAAGACAGTCTAGACAAGAAGCGAAAGAAAGGCAGGAGAGCGCTTGTGGCATCGGACCGGTGTCTCCGAAGCCAGCAATGCCAGTCACCCGCCGAGGGCAGTCCTGAAGACGCTGGTTCTTCCAGCTCTGTGCAGCTTCCTTGCCTTCAGATCAAACTCTCCAAGAGCCCTGGCGCTAAGCGGTTCAAGAGAGAAGTGCCCCTGGATGGGGCAGCACCTGTGCACTTCCCAAACGACTGCTTCCCCAATGCGCTGCTCAAAACCAGTAAGGAGCCAGGCACCGGCCAGGCTCCAGAGAGCATTGCTGAGCAGTGCCCAGGTGAGGAGAATGGTGTCACTACCAGAGAAACCTATAAAAGCATCTTAGTGGCAGAGGGAGAAAATTCCTCTAAAGATGACCCCCCTGCTAACAGCAGCCAAAGTCAACCAGGTGAGATGCTGGAAATGGGCGTCCAGGCTGATTCTGAGAAGAGAAGCCTTCTCCTCCCTCCAGAGAGCAGCATGCTTGCAAATGATGCCGAGCAAGCGGATGTGAAACCAGGCGATGCCAATGCAAAGGACGAGGAGAGCTCTGACGGTTGCATGGGCATGGGCAAGCTGGAGAGCTACGAGCCAGTGGCCAATTCGCCTCCGTGTCCCAGCAGCAGAGCTGGAATCAAGCATCTTCCAGCGAAGGCTGCAAAGCATAAAAAGGTCGCTCTGCAGTTTTATAACTTAAGACACGCACCCACACCTGTGGAAACCACAAAAAAGAGCACACCAGGGAAGGAGTCTGTGCAAGCGATCCCCAAACTGAGGGATGAATGCAGTTCAGGTAATGACGACTCCCTGGCGTTGGAGGACGTAGACACGGCTGACAGCAAACGAAAGTTCATGGAGTGGTGCGCTGAAGAGGACAACCAGGAGCTCATTGCCGAGTTCAATGCCCAGTACATGAAAGTTCAGAAGGGCTGGATTCAACTGGAGAAGGAGGTGCAGCCAACCCCCAAGGTAAAGAACAAAGCCGACAAATTGAAAGAGATTTGGAAAAGCAAGAAAAGGACACGGAAGAGTAGAGGCTCACTGGAAGTGCAGAAGCTTTCTCCTGTCCAGATGCTGTTTATGAAGGCCTTTAAGCTATCTGACATCTGCCAGTGGTTTCTCGAGACAACTGAAACCAGGTCTCTAGTGATCGTGAAGAAACTCAACACCCGTCTCCCGGGGGAGATCCCCCCCATCAAAGTCCCCATGCAGAAATATTCCTCCTCCAGTCTCTACCCCAGCTCACTGCAAGCTGAACGTTTGAAAAAACACCTCAAGAAGTTTGCCGCCACTACCCCGGCTCGGAATAACCTGAAGAACCAAAAGCTTTGGGCCAAAATTCGGGAGAACGCTGATAAAGCAGAGGCTGAAGA